CTCTCTCTCTCTCTCTCTCTCTCTCTCTCTCTCTCTCACGCACACACACACACACACACACACACACACACACACACACACACACACACACGATCAAGCGTTATGCAAACGTTATAGCATAGCCTGGAAAAGCTAGCATGATGATTAATGGGTCTTGCTGAGAGAAGGGGCGGGAAGTGCGTGAGGGTTGGTGAGGGGTTGCTGCAAAGGGGTCAACCGGCCAAAAGGTGAATGCCATTGATGTTTGACGTACCAGGGAATCGCCGAGCTCAGCAGTGACAACACCGCTCTTCTTGCCATTCTGAAGCTTGCAATATCTTCTTGACGTCAGCGATGTTCCGCAAATGGAGCTTGAGCTCATAGACTGCAAAACATCATAAAAAATATGTCATCTTGACTTGTGATCCACGATCCATCCCAGCTGCCACTGCCAAAGGAGTCTTGCTCTGTTTGCATGTTTGACCGCCTTGTGCAGCTTTGACGCACAGACTCCATTGCTCAGCACCCAGTGCATCAATGATTTTCAATCACTCTGCTCAAACTTGTCATATTTCTTTTTCTTTTCCATCACTCTTGCCAAACTTGTCATTTTTCTTTTTCCGTTTCTTTTATTCTAAACTACTAATACCTACCGCATTTTTAGGCCCCCTCTTACTCCAATGAATACAGACCCGCGCGGCAGGCCGATTCATCCACCACATTAATGGCCTAAGAATGTGGTAGGTACAGGTGGTTTAAGGGGTAAGCCTCTATCATTATCAAATGCATCTGACTTCCTTCCCTATATGAACTCATGACTTGATCCCTTGTGGTTTTTTTTTTTTTTTGTGTGTGTGAAAATTCACCAGCCTTGTTTGTTTTTTCTTTTCCTTTTCAAGCCTTCGAAAGATTTTTTGCCACATGGGCTGGTTAGACTTGTCATATTTCAATTCCCAAGTGTCTCCATTACCCAATGGTATTCTGCTTCTGAATTTTCTACCCATCCGCCTTGTGGGAGACCTGAAATGAGGAATCACCATACGTTTGAGCAAGTACCGCTTCTAACTAATTTAGCACTAGTTTGAAAGAAAAGAAAATTGTTGAACATTCAGTTTAGTTAAGAATGGGTTCAACGGCATCCAAGATTGTTCTACGCATTATGATGCCACACATATTCAATTATGAAATCAAATGGGATCACATCTCCATCCATTCATCCATCCATCCATCAATCACGAAAATAATGAAGTCACAGAGTCTGTCATGGAGAATTCACCAAAGTAAACACACTTCATCCACCCCATGGTAGATACTAGTTTTGAGAATTTGGGAAGACAATTGGAAATCAAGTAACACAAGAAATGTGAATAACCTTGGGAACCAAATAAGTTGAAATAACTAATATTGATCAAAGAATTCAAGTCAATACATCAAGCAGTCAGTAAGTCAGTCGATAGTGTGTTTACCAATTTATCATGGTTACGCCAGACCCGGACACCGGACCAGTCCAGACGTTCGGTTGGACCTTTGTGTGGACTTGTTCGGACCGTCCGGATTGAAAAAAGAAAAGAAATTTTCAAAAAGAAAAAAAAACGTTTTTATTTTTTCCCTTGGATTTGACTTGGAATTTTGAGATGGTACTCGGCCAAAATATTTTTGTACTGCAATGCTGCATAACTTTTTTTTCATTTTTTTTTTCTTTTCTTAAGTTGGATTTTTTTTTTTAGGTGGGGGTGGGAGGATGGATCTGAACAGTGTGCACTAGACACCGTACCCGGCCATCCAGACCTTGACCGTCTGCACTGCGGCTGGATCGTAACCATGCAATTTATCAATCAATAGATCATTCAATCTGTAACTGAGTTCATCGGTTAGTCGATCAATTAGTCAATCAGTAAGTTGGTATATACATTGGACCATCCGTTTGTTCGTCCATACATTCACTCGGTTGTCCATCCACCCATCCATTTGTCCATCCATCGATCCATCCATTCGTTTGTCCATACATTCACTCAATTGTTCATCCACCCATCTATTTGTTCATCATTGATCATACGTAAATGAGTTTTAACAGGTACATTCATTCCTCCATCCATCCATCCCTCTAGTCACTCAATGTCAGTTAGTCAATTAGTTAATCAAGATCTTATCAAATCATATATGTTCAGTCACATAGAGTCAACGCAATCAACTCAATCAAATCTGATAAAATCAAATGACAGATCGAACGGTTCATCCATCCATTCATCTATCCATCAATCCATCCAATCATCCATCCGGTTATCCATCCATCCATTCATTCATTTTTTTATTTATTTCATTCATCTATTTATTTACTTATCCATCCATTTATCAATCTATTAATTCATCAATCAATCAATTAATCAAATCAAACCAATTATCAAATTAATTAGATAGTCGTATGTAATCAAATCGAATTTATAAGATCAGGGGATCGATTAATAATTTAATAGAATCAATTCAATCAGATGAGATATATTTAAATTAAATCATTACATTAGTTTTATAATAAAATTTGAACATAATTAATTAAGTACATAAATCCACCAATCCATCCAGCCAGCCCCCCACCTACACAAACCAAGCCAACAAAATAAACCAAAAGAAACCAAATCACATAAATTAAACCTAACATAATCAAAATTAAAACAAACAAAACCTATAATCAAAGCATATAATCAACAATCTAAACACAAAAGGCACCAATCAGCCAACCAAAACAAGCAAAAAAAATAATTAGAATCAATAAATGTATACATGAATTACCAAATAAATTAATCAATAAACTTATAAAGACGATAATGTTATAGTTTATGATACCAGATTTAAAACTCTTCAATTATCAATGAATCAACATACAAGTCATTCAGTCTATCAGTCACTTAGATGATCAATCAATCATCCGACCATCCATCAATCGATGAATTACTAGGATTAAGGGTAAACCAGTTACTTTATTAATCATCTTACAAATCAATCAACTAACCAAACAACCAACAAATAATTCAACAAAATAAGAAAAAGCAATGAACAACCACAAGTCATAAAGGGTCATTAACCTATGAGATCATAATTAAAAATATATATATATTTGGGAATGGTCAAAATTAAATATGGAGCTATAATGCAAGAGGTATAATACGAATGTAACAAAAATTATCATGTACGCATTCTACGTTATCGAATAAAAAAAGTTGAAGTATGGAAGACCAACAATCATACATATCAATATTAAATACTCTCAAAAGACTTAAAAAAAAAAAAAAAAACACCCGGTTTTTCAAGGACCCTCCAAGTCGAATCAATAATGATGACGAATGTTTTTAAGTAGAATATACCTCTACTACCCAAGTTTAATTATTCATTGTTTTTTCTTGCTTATAAATATCATTAGTACAAACATCTCCCCTATTTCATATAAACAATAATATTTATATTTTGTTTTGCCTCTTTCTATATTGGCAGTGTACTAATTTTTTCTCACATTTCATGACGATTATTTGATTAGTTCATTTATCGATGCATATATATGTTTTCATGATATAAGTTATTTTAACATAGATAATTACTGCAAAGCTTACTAACAAGACTTATATGTAAGGGATGATGAAAATATTAATAAATGATTGAGCATGAAGACACGGTGAATGTAGGGGTTTTGCTATATTGTTTTTTCATTCATGTGTTGTTGATTTTTTCAATATATAGGACTCTTTAAAAAATCTCAAGATATTGTTAGCGTATATGATCAATCTTCAACAATAAGGAATTTTACTCTATATTTGTGTCAGTTCGTCAATAAAGATGTAATTGCCCTTTTTTTTTTTACCTCATCTCCTCAGACTCCTCTTTGTGCAGCTTCGATGCTCCTTTCTTTTTCTCTTTCATCTATTTTCAAAAACCTTTCAAGTCAAATCAATAATGGTGAAAAATATTCAATTAGTATATACCTTTATTGCCCCAATTTAATTATCCATTACCCCTTATCGCTTATAAATATCACTGGTATCAACATCTTCCCTATTTTATATAAACAATAATAGTTATCAATGTACTATTTATTCTCACTTTTCATTACTATTATTGGATTTAATCACTTCGTCGATTCATATGTACGTTTTTACACTGTAGGTTATTGTGGCATAGATGATCAGTGCAAAACTTACTATCAATACTTATATATAAGGGATGATGACAACATTAATATACAATTGAGCATAAAAACACGGTGAGTATAAGGGTTTTGACTATATTGTCTTTTTATTTATATTAATGATGATAACATTAATAAACGATTGAGCATAAGGACACGGTGAGTGTAGGGGTTTAACTATATTGTTTTTTCAACAAATTAAACTCTTAAGAAAATCCTAATTTATTCATAGGGTGTATGATCAATCTTCAACAATATGAAACTTTGCTCCATATTTGTGTCGGTTTCTCAATGAAGTTGTAGTTGCCTTCATTTTTCTTACCTCATCTTCTCTAGCTCCTCCTTATGCATCTTCAGTTATTCTATTCATTTTTTTTCCATATATATATATATATATATATTGACGATATATATATATTTCCCTCTAACTAATTACACGTTTGACTTCTTATTAAATTGAATTAATTCATTAATAAAAAAATTGAAGTTGTTATCATTTGTCATTATATTTTGTTAGTTTTCTATCTATTTATGTTCCTTCTTAATTATAATTAAGAAACTTATTTGTTTTGATTTTCATTCGACACATTTTCATACTCAAAAAAAATATTTCTCAAACAATCTAATGGTGATTTTCATCATTCCCCCCACTTTGTAAAGATTGGTAGTTATTTAATACTATGTTATTGAATCGTACATCTGAGAACCCCGTAACCGTTCGGGGTTGTCCGATCGAACAACTGGTCGAATGTCCTCCCCGACCAGTCTGTCCAAAGACCAAATGGCCAGAAAAAAAAAAAAAAAAAAAAAAAAAAAAAAAAAAAAAAAAAAAAAAAAAAAAAAAAACCTGAAAAAACTTATGTTATGCAGAACAATAAACTGAATAACTTTTGCCTTGGAGTTACATCGAAATTCTTTATCAAATTTGAAATGAAAAATAAAACCATGTTATGTAGAAATTGAACAACTTTTGCTTTGGGTTTACATCGAAATTCTTTATCAAATTTAGGAAAAAAAAACTACGTTATGCAGAAAAATAAACTGAACAACTCTTACCTTGGCCTTGCTACCGTTTTCTTCCCTGTGCAAGTATGAGTGTGTGTGTGTATGCGTGGTTGTCGGTGTGTGTTTGTGTGTGTAGACAGTGCATCTGTATGTGTATATAGTGCATGTGTGTGTGTGCGAGTAGATAGTGTGTGTGTGACTGTGTG